ATTAATAAGGAAATGTTCAAGGCTAATGCCATTAGATTGCACTCCCTTCATCTGATTATTTAGTTAGTTATTACATTGCAATAGCATGCATTCAGAGGTTTGGGTAGAACGAACGACTGGGCAACTGTTCATGTTATCACAGAGAGCATATGGCGGACACACTCCACTTGACTGGAAGCCACTCGAGGGCCATCGGCACTATTACAGAGATACATTTTTATTTATTTTATTTTACCTTTATTTAACTAGGCAAGTCAGTTAAGAACAAATTCTTATTTCCAATGACGGCCTACACCGGCCAAACCCGGACGACGCTGGGACTTAAACAGATAGGTCTACCAAAAACGGTATAACACAGATTCTATAGGCCTATCTGCTATGTGGAGTTGAAATGGAGCACGAACAGTTGTAATCAAATCACATTTTATTGGTCGCATACAATAAATGATTTGATATATATATATATACACACACACACACACACACACAGTGCATTCGGAAAGCATTCAGACACCTTTACTTTTTCCACATTTTGTTAAGTTATAGCCATATTCTAAAATTGATTATATAATTTTTTACCTCATCAATCTACACACTACCCCATAATGACAAAGCAAAAACAGGTTTTTAGAAATTGGCACATTTATAAAAAATAAAAAACGAAATACCTTATTTACATACATTTTCAGACCCTTTGCTATGAGAATCGAAATTGAGCTCAGGTGCGTCCTGTTTCCATTGATCATCCTTGAGATGTTTCTACAACTTGATTGGAGTCCACCTGTGGTAAATTAAATTGATTGGACATGATTTGGAAAGGCACACACCTGTCTATATAAGGTCCCGCAGTTGACAGTGCATGTCAGAGCAAAAACCAAGTCATGAGGTCGAAAGAATTGTCCGTAGAGCTCAGAGACAGGATTGTGTCGAGGCACAGATCTGAAGAAGGGTACCAAACCATTTCTGCAGCATTGAAGGTCCCCAAGAACACAGTGGCCTCCATCATTCTTAAATGGAAGAAGTTTAGAACCACCAAGACTCTTCCTAGAACTGGCCACCCAGCCAAACTGAGTAATCGGGGGAGAAGGGCCTTGGTCAGGGAGGCGACCAAGAACCCGATGGTCACTCTAACAGAGCTCCAGAGTTCCTCTGTGGAGATGGGAGAACCTTCCAGAAGGACAACCATCTCTGCAGCACTCTACCAATCAGGCCTTTATGGTAGTGGCCAGACGGAAGCCACTCCTCAGTAAAATATACATAACAGCCCGCTTGGAGTTTGCCAAAAGGCACCTAAAGGACTCTCACACCATGAGAAACAAGATTCTCTGGTTTGATGAAACCAAGATTGAACTATTTGGCCTGAATGCCACGAGTCACGTCTGGATGAGACCTGGCACCATCCCTACGGTGAAGCATGGTGGTGGCAGCATCATTCTATGGGGATGTTTTTCAGCGGCAGGGACTGGAAGACTAGTCAAGATCGAGGGAAAGATGAATGGAGCAAAGTACAGAGAGATCCTTGATGAAAACCTACTCCAGAGTGCTCAGGACCTCAGACTGGGGTGAAGGTTCACCTTCCAACAGGACAATGACCCTAAGCACACAGCCAAGACAACACAGGAGTGGCTTCGGGACAAGTCTCAATGTTCTTGAGTGGCCCAGCCAGAGCCTGGATTTGAACCTGATCGAACATCTCTGGAGAGACCTGAAAATAGCTGTGCAGCGACGCTCCCCATCCAACCTGACAGAGCTTGAGAGGATCTGCAGAGACGAATGGGAGAAACTCCCCAAATACAGGTGTGCCAAGCTTGTAGCGTCATACCCAAGAAGACTCGAGGCTGTAATTGCTGCCAAAGGTGCTTCAACAAAGTACTGAGGAAAGGGTCGGAATAATTATGACTGTTATATTTCAGTGGGGGGGGGGGGGTTTTGCTAACATTTCCTCAAACCTGTTTTTGCTTTGTCACTGTGGGGTATTGTGTGTAGATTGAGGGAACAGTTTTTTAAAGTCAATTTTAGAATAAGGCTGTAACGTAACAAAATGTGGAAAAAGTCAAGGGGTCTGAATACTTTCCGAATGCACTATATGTATGTATGTGTGTGTGTGTGTGTGTGTGTGTGTGTGTGTGTGTGTGTGTGTGTGTGTGTATATATATACCCATATACTGTGTATACACTGAACAAAAATATAATCGCAACAATTTTTAAGATTTGACTGAGTTGCAGTTCATATAAGGAAATCAGTCAATTGAAAAAAATTCATTAGGCCCTAATTTATGGATTTCACATGACTAGGAATACAGATATGCAACTGTTGGTCACAGATACCTTAAAAAATGGGCCTCAGGATCTCGTCACGATTTCTCTGTACATTCAAATTGCCATCAATAAAATGCAATTGTGTTCGTTGTATGTAGCTTATGCCTGCCCATACCATAACCCCACCATCACCATGGGGCACTCTGTTCATCAGCAAACCACTCACCCACACAACGCCATACACGTGGTCTGTGGTTGTGAGGCCGGTTTGGACGCACTGCCAAATTCTCTAAAGGTTGGAGGCGGCTTATGGTAGAGTAACGAACATTCAATTCTCTGGCAACAGCTCTGGTGGACATTCCTGCAGTCAGCATGCCAATTGCGCGCTCCCTCAAAACTTGAGACATCTGTGGCATTGTATTGTGTCACAAAACTGCATATTTTAGAGTGTCCTTTTATTGTCCCCAGCACAAGGTGCACCTGTGTAATGATCATGCTCTTTAATCAGCTTCTTGATATGCCACACCTGTCAGGTGATGGATTATCTACGTAAAGGAGAAATGCTCACTAACAGGGATGTAAACAAATTTGTGCACAAAATGTGAGAGAAATAAGCTTTTTGTACCTATGGAACATTTCTGGGATATTTTATTTCAGCTAATGAAACATGGGACCAACACTTTACATGTTCTGTTTATATTTTTGTTCAGTGTGTGTGTATGTATGTGTGATGTATGTATGTATGTATATATATATATATATGTGTGTGTGTGTGTGTGTGTGTGTGTGGGATGGGATGTATAGACAATATGTACATTATATGGATAGAATATGTAGTATATCTGAAGAATATCATAAGTACAGCAATAGTTAAATATGATAGTCCTTGACTAGAATACAGTATATACATATGAAGTGGGTAAAACCGTATGTAAATATTATTTAAAGTGACTAGTGTTCCATTATTAAAGTGACCAGTGTTCCATGACTATGTACATAGGGCAGCAGCCTCTAAGGTGCATGGTAGAGTAACCAGGTGGTAGCCGTCTAGTGACAGTAACTACATTTCAGGACAGGGTACTGGGAAGGGGCCGGCTAGTGTTGACTATTTAACCGTCTGACCGTCCAGCTTTGATGCACCTGTACTGACCTAATGAGGGACAGGGTTCATTCATATTTCCTGATATCATGCTCATCTCCTGCCTGCACGCACGCGCGTAGGCCTAATTGTAGCATTTTTTATGGGCCTACATTTTGAATTATACAAAAGTGGAATGGATTGGTCCACCATACATGATTGTAGGCTACTTACTCTGCCTGGACCCGAACAGCATGAGTTATGGCTGAATTGCATGGGTCCTTTCATTAGCTGTGCTGTGGTGTAGGATAGGCTACCCCATAATCTGTCCAGTCAAGAACAATGGTATTTAGACAGTTAAAGTGCCTACCTATGGAAATGATTAACTTTGCCCTTCTCTGACATTGGGTGCTTATTACGCAGCGAAGACGTTGTGTAGCCAGCCTATGGAAGGAGAAGGTGGGTTGCATAGCCAGGTGCTGTTGATTATCATACAGCTGTAGTCCCCCCTTTCAGTGCTACCCCTCCGAATCTTTCGATGGCACAATAAAAGATCTCCCTCCAAAGTCTGCCGGTTTGAGAACTCACACGTGTCAGAACAATTACAATTCTGAGGCTGAATTAAAGGGATGTGCGCGAAGCCCACTCATCCCCTCCACCGTACACGGCCGTTGTCCTCCCTCCCAGGAGAAAAGGATGAAAACAACCCTGAAGAATAGGGTGGCACGCAACACGCCGAAGAAAATAAAAAGAGGAGAAAACTAACCACTGCTTAATAGAAGTAAAGTGACGGTGGATTTTTCATCGCCAATCACGTTATGACCCTATCATGCTTACACAGCAAACCTACATTTCCCCATCGATAAAGTGTATTCAACGTTGCATGTATCCAGTCCTTTAATTTATTACGTATTGAAATTAATGACTAATCATCGTAATAGATCAAAATATGTTTAGGTTCGGTCTCTTCGCAATCAAGGTGCGCAGTTCTTTCAAAATGTATAGGCCTATAGCCTATTTCTTCACATTTTCGTTTAGCTATGTGGCTAAAGTATCCATAGAGCCTTACACTTAAATGTGTTTCCATTTCGTTATATTACCCTATCCAATTTGGTGACATCGAATCAAAGCACATCGTAAACAGTCCCCAAATTGCAGCGAAGTCTGCACAGCATTTGACACACTACCCCTCCTCCTGCGCGCCCACACCCTCCCCCACTCTGATGCTGGGGTATAAAATCCCTGTCGCACGCTCCACTACACGTAATTAAAGGTAGAAATAAGTCCAGAGTGCAACTTCTCCGCGGAGCGAAATGATTTAATTTTCGTTGTCAGCTCAATTTCTATTACTTATTGCCTGAAGACAAAAGACATCTGACAAGAAGTGCGCTCTATTTTTACATTTCGCACGTTATCTTTTTCTTCTTGTTTTGGGATACAGTACATTTTTCCTCTATATTGGATATCTGGCGCTGTCTGCTATACTTTCATAGCAGACGAAGAAACACTTCCCACAATGGCACATTTGTTATTAACGTGTTTTTTGGCGTTGATATCAACGCAACTGGTGAGTACACATGCAATATTCATAGTTATGTTACGTGTTGGTAACCTGTGTAATTGCGCCTTTTACACACTGATATGTACGTATTCTTTCCTGTAGGTCGAGTCGTCCGGTGTATTTGAGTTGAAAGTGCACTCCTTCAGTAGTACCCGTAGTGTCTGTAAACCGTCTAGGGATTGCCAGATATTCTTCCGAGTCTGCCTTAAACATTCCCAAAATGTCATCTCACCTGAGCCCCCCTGCACCTATGGCATGGGACTGACCGAAATCTTCAATGCCGACCAGAGCTCCATCTCCAGTAGTGCACCCATCAGAGTGCCTTTCCATTTCAAGTGGCCGGTGAGTAGCCTACTGTACACATACTCAATATACTATAGAGCTGATGGTAAGTCAAAGGTCCAATGCAGCCGTTTTTATCTCAATATCAAATCATTTCCTGGTAACAATTAAGTTCCTTACTGTGATTGTTTTCAAATAAATGGGCCTTTAACGGTTAATGACTGGTGGTACATTTCATAGATTGGGTAATGTCATGAAGCTTTTCATGAAGCGTTTTCACTTTAAATAATCTCGCCTCTTACAGCTTTTTGACAAAATATATATTTTTCCTGTGTGGATTGTAGGGTACATTCTCGCTCATTGTTGAAGCCTGGAACGCAGAGTCCGACGGCCAGTCCACAGGTAGGTAGACTTCAGTGCACACTCCCTCTAGGGGACGGAAAGTGGCTTTAATATTCCTCTAATAGTCATTCCCAGCACAAGCGTTTGAGTATAAAATACGTTTTACGTATTTGCAAAAATGCGGTAATATTTGATTACACACACACACATATATATATATATATATATATATATATATATATATATATATATATATATATATATATATATACTACCTTTCAAAAGTTTGGGGTCACTTAGAAATTTCATTTTTTTTCATGAAAACATACATGAAATGAGTTTGAATAGGAAATATAGCGAAATGTAGTCATTGACCAGGTTAGAAATAATGATTTTTAATAGAAATAATAATTGTGTCCTTCAAACTTTGCTTTCGTCAAAAAATCCTCCATTTGCAGCAATTACATCCTTGCAGACCTTTGGCATTCTAGTTGTCAATTTGTTGAGGTTATCTGAAGAAATTTCACCCCATGCTTCCTGAAGCACCTCCCACAAGTTGGATTGGCTTGATGGGCACTTCTTACGTACCATACGGTCAAGCTGCTCCCACAACAGCTCAATAGGGTTGAGATCCGGTGACTGTGCTGGCCACTCTATTATAGACAGAATACCAGCTGACTGCTTCTTCCCTAAATAGTTATTGCATAGTTTGGAGCTGTGCTTTGGGTCATTGTCCTGTTGTAGGAGGAAATTGCCTCCAATCAAGTGCCGTCCACAGGGTATGGCATGGCGTTGCAAAATGGAGTGATAGCCTTCCTTCTTCAAGATCCCTTTTACCCTGTACAAATCTCCCACTTTACCAGCACCAAAGCACCCCCAGACCATCACATTGCCTCCACCATGCTTGACAGATGGCATCAAGCACTCCTCCAGCATCTTTTCATTTGGTCTGCGTCTCACAAATGTTATTCTTTGTGATCCGAACACCTCAAACTTCGATTTGTCTGTCCGTAACACTTTTTTAAATGTTCCTCTATCAAGTGTCTGTGTTCTTTTGCCCATCTTAATCTTTTATTTTTATTGGCCAGTCTGAGATATGGCTTTTTCTTCGCAACTCTGCCTAGAAGGTCAGCATCCCGGAGTCGCCTCTTCACTGTTGACGTTGAGACTGATGTTTTGTGGGTACTATTTCATGAAGCTGCCAGTTGAGGACCTGTGAGCCGTCTGTTTCTCAAACTAGACACTAATGTATTTGTCCTCTTGCTCAGTTGTGCACCGGGGCCTCCCACTCCTCTTTCTATTCTGGTTAGAGCCAGTTTGCGCTGTTCTGTGAAGGGAGTAGTACACAGCGTTGTACGAGATCTTCAGTTTCTTCACAATTTCTCGCGTGGAATAGCCTTCATTTCTCAGAACTAGAGTAGACTGACAAGTTTCAGAAGAAAGTTCTTTGTTTCTGGCCATTTTGAGCCTGAAATCGAACCCACAATTGCTTATGCTCCAGATACTCAACTAGTCTCAAGAAGGCCAGTTTTATTGATTCTTTAATCAGCACAACAGTTTTCAGCTGTGCTAACATAATTACAAAAGGGTTTTCTAATGATCAATTAGCCTTTTAAAATAATAAACTTGGATTAGCAAACACAACGTGCCATTGGAACACAGGACTGATGGTTGCTGATAATGGGCCTCGGTACACCTATGTAGATATTCCATTAAAAATCAGCCGTTTCCAGCTACAATAGCCATTTACAACATTAACAATGTCTACACTGTATTTCTGATCAATTTTATGTTATTCTAATGGACAAAAAATTTGCTTTTCTTTTGAAAACAAGGACATTTCTAAGTGACCCCAAACCTTTGAACGGTAGTGTTTATATACAAAGCTATTACCTCACAATATATGATTTTTAATCTGCTTAATGTCTCTCTCTTTAATAGAAAACCAGAATAACTTGATCAGCCGCTTGGCCACCCGTAGAAGACTAGACATTGGCGAGGATTGGTCGCAGGATGTACACTTTGAAGAGCAAAGTGAACTTCGTTATTCTTACCACGTTGTCTGTGATGAAAACTACCACGGCGACAGCTGCTCAGACTACTGCCGTCCCCGTGACGACCCATTCGGACACTATACCTGTGATGCCGCGGGCACCAGAATGTGCCTGTCTGGTTGGAAAGGAGAATACTGCTCAGAACGTAAGTGTCCAGAAGGACTACACATTTTTTGAATGATAAGGCCAATTCTTATTATATATTTTTTTAAAGCCTGTTATTCAGAGTAATATAGCCACAAAATAATATAGTAATATAGCCACAAAATGCTTGTTTTTTAATCTCAGAAACAATTGTTTTGCGCCACTGATTATTGGTGTATGTGCACAGCGCGCCTGATTTCAATTCTTGAAATGGTTATTTAAGACATTTCAAACATCTTCTGGTGAAAAAAAAGCTTCTGTTGATTCAAATATAGAGTTTGTCTATATCTTTTGTTTGGGCCAACAATGGGAGCTGAGTGTATGATTTAACAGGGACACGCGTTGGAACTTAATGTGCGCTCCCTTGCGTGAAAAAATATGGCATGTGTTCCTTTTGTGTGTGTACCAGCTGCTTAGTTTAGTACTTAACAAATACTTTATGTGTCTGAGCCCAGTGAAGGGGGGTTGTTTTGTGATGCGAAAGGGGCACACTCATTCTAATTTTCCCCCTATCTCTAAAGCCATCTGCTCGTCTGGCTGTAGTGAGAAGCACGGTTATTGTGAGGCCCCTGGCGAGTGCAAGTGCCGCCTCGGGTGGCAGGGGCCCCTCTGTGACGAGTGTGTCCGCTACCCTGGCTGCTTGCATGGCACCTGCGGGCAGCCGTGGCAGTGCAACTGTAAAGAGGGCTGGGGAGGACTGTTCTGCAACCAGGACCTCAACTACTGCACCAACCACAAGCCCTGCATGAACAATGCGCCCTGCACCAACACAGGCCAGGGCAGCTACACCTGTACCTGCAGGCCGGGCTTCAGTGGCAACAATTGTGAGATCGAAACCAACGAGTGTGACAGCAACCCCTGCAAAAACGGAGGCAGCTGCAATGTAAGTTCTGATATAACTGCTGTGTTCTATTTATCTCTCAGGATTAAAAGCTACTACTCACAATCCAAGTCTTTAATTGTCCTCTATGTAACGCTAACCTATCTATTTCATATTTCCAGGATCTGGAGAACGACTACACCTGCACCTGTCCCCAAGGCTTCTACGGGAAGAACTGTGAGATCAGTGCGATGACCTGTGCCGACGGGCCCTGCTTCAACGGTGGCACCTGCATGGAGCAGGTGACCGGTGGTTACTCCTGCCGCTGCCCTGCCGGCTACATGGGTTCCAACTGTGAGAAGAAGATTGACCGCTGCAGCAACGACCCCTGTGCTAACGGTAAGCATCCCCCCCAACAGCACAACCGCTGTCTGAGTGAGGGAAACCTACCAGGTCTTCTGATTGTTATGATGGAGCCGCTCTCCAACTCTTATCTCTCCGTCTGACAACAAAACTCAACCGACTGTGCTGCAGACACATTCTTTGGCAGTTACCATCATGGGTTTTTGTCAACGTTTTTCTCTTTGCCCATAAACTCTGTTTTGTTTTGACATGCATCCAGTCCACACCTAAAATGTAAAAAATGCAGCACAGGCACGGTACAAAAGACGCTTGGCTCAAACTGATGTAAGGGGTAAGATAAAGCTGTCATTATGAGGTGGAAAAAAACTGGTCTTAGAATGTTGTGGGCTGTTTTGCTACACTGGAGATGTACTTCATGTGGGAATGAGCACTAGCTTATCTGTCATCTGCTAAATTCCTGTTGGTGTGGGAAGCAAATGTAAACATTATACAGTACCAGTCAAAAGTTTGCACGCACCTGTTAATTCAAGGGTTTTTCTTTATTTTTACAATTTCCTACATTGTAGAATAATAGTGAAAATATCAAAACTATGAAATAACACATATGGATTCATGTATTAACCAAAAAAGTGTTAAACAAATCAAAATATATTTATATTTGAGATTCTTCAAAGTAGTCACCCTTTGCCTTGATTACAGCTTTGCACACTCTTTGCATTCTCTCAACCAGCTTAATGAGGTAGTCACCTGGAATGTTTAACACTTTTTTGGTTACTACATGATTCCATATGTTTTATTTCATAGTTTTGATGTTATTCTACATTGTAAAAAATAGTAAAAATAAAGAAAAACCCTTAGTAAGTGTGTCCAAACTTTTGACTGGCACTGTATATTTGCCTTCCATAAGAAGCTTTGACACTCATACCTGTGCTTCAAGTTTTGATAAACATGTTGAGTGTGCAGTGATTTGAACCCCTCCTCGTCTGTCTATCTCTCTGATAGGTGGCCAGTGCCTGGATCTGGGCCACAGCCTGATGTGCCGTTGTCGCCCTGGCTTCACTGGGCCGCGCTGCAAGATCAACATCGATGACTGCGCCCGAAACCCCTGCCGCAACGCCGGTACCTGCGTGGATGGCATCAAAGACTTTACCTGCACCTGCACCCTGGGCTTCACCAGCAAGGACTGCAGCGTCCGTGCCGATGCCTGCTCCGTCTTCCCCTGCCAGAATGGAGGTACCTGCTACACCCACTTCACCGGACCCGTGTGCCAGTGCCCGGCCGGCTTCATGGGCTCCCGATGCGAGTTCAGCCTCAAACCCACCGCCAAGCCCAAGGCAGACGGCTTGCCTGCAGCCCTGGTTGTCTCCTTCGCCCTGGGCCTGGTCACCCTCACCCTGGTGGTGTGTGCTGCCATTGTGGTCCTAAGCCAGATGAGGCGTGGGCGGAAGGCCATGGCGCCTTCTGTTCGTAACAACCTGGAGACAGTCAAAAACCGGCCCATAGGTGGTTCCAACCCCCCGTCCAGCCTCAGAGAGAAGGAAGCCTTCCTCATCCCCGGCGGCCATTACAAAGTGTCCAATAAGGACGCAGCACTGACCTCGGCCCCCGCAGACAAACACGGAGACAAGGCGGCCTACAAGCAGAAGATGGTTGACTACAACTTGGCCAAGGAGGAGGACCGTCATGCCAAAAACAAATTTGACTGGTAAGAATGCCTCGCCAAACTCAAACGGTATTGTGCCAATGAATCAGAGAGTGCGTGATCACCATTGCCTTAGAGTTGGATGGAGTGCTTGTATTTCCCAGTGGAACCTAGCACCAGGCCTTTCTTCTAGCAGACATGTTACAACTTGATCTCTCACTATGTAATGCCAAGGCTTTATCTGATTTTTTTTAACCCTCAACTTTGTGTTGGAGACCATGGGATCCACTGTTTTTGTTGTTGTTGTATGATTCCATTGCGCCTGTGGAACCAAACCTGACCTCCTTTCCCTCCCTCTATCTCTTTTCAACAGGAAAAAAACAGAAGGCAGCATAATCGTTCCACCAATGAGCTTCCCTAAAGAAGGCTTGTACCACCCAGTCTTCATCATCCAGACCGAACAGCAAACGGAACAGTGTGTCTTTGCTACTGAGGTAAGCAGCTCCACCCATTCAAACAGGTTATTATTAAGAGTTTATGGAAGTTATTGTCAAATCACTTTTTCAAGATTTGATTGGTAACACTCTCCCTCTCTATCATTTTCCCACCTTAGGTTTAACAACAGTATTCCGTCACCAGGAGTACCTTCACCAACAAGGGCTTTGCCTGAACATGTTTACAGTCTTTCAAAGACAATTCAAAGAATTGAAGAGGATATATTAAATCAACAGGTATTATTTAATATTTATTCATGCTGCTCATTAAAAATGACAACATTGACAATGTTTGGATACAACATGCGAAAAGTGGGGACTTTATTTGCACTACATTTAAAAATCTAATATAATTTGCTTTGCGTTAAAAATGAACAAAAATACAACTTTCCTCTGAAGAGGGCCAATGATTCACCAATCATAGAGAAGCAGGACTTTCTCCTCCTGATGCCTTATCGAAAAGAAAACGATATCTCAAATAATCTAGAGGGGCCTTTTTACCATCCATGAATAAGATGTCACTACAATCCACTTGAGAATCAAAAATAACAGTAAGGACATTTTCGTGGCCTCTTAGTTTTTTTTTTTTTTTTTTTTTAATCAAAGCGGAAGCGGGAAACAATGTTGACGCTATCAAAGAACTCAAGATGAAGGTTTACTGAAAGCTTAGATGGACAGTTGTCTATAGATATCTGAGTTTGGAGTAGCTGGATGTCATATCTAGGCCTTCTGGACCCTAAACTGGCCTCCCTTTCCCTATGGAAATAAATCACCAATGTGCCCTATCTTTCGGAGGACTACATGTATACTTAGGAAACTCAATCTTATCAAGTGCCTAATCTTTAAAATATGCTACGACTTAAGGAAAAATGGTACTGATCTTACACATTGACATTTTTTCATGTGTTTTTTAATGTGTTTGTTTGATACTGTACACGTTTTTTCACAGTCTCTTTCGGAGTATATTTTTTTTACAAACACACCAGAAAGTCTTATTTGAACCAGTTGAAAGTCATAGTACATGTAATTTGTACAGTTTGACATTTTCAATGCCTTTCAATGTACAACTTCCATCTTGTCAAACACATTTTAAATTTACATTTTAGTCATTTAGTAGACGCTCTTATCCAGAGCGACTTACAGTTAGTGAGTGCATACATTTTTGTAAAAAAAAAAAGCATACTGGCCCCCCGTGGGAATCGAACCCACAACCCTGGCGTTGTAAGCGCCATGCTCTACCAACTGAGTTACAGTGCTTTTATTACATTCCCTTGACTTGAATGAAGTGTATTGTGCATAAAGACTGCTTCCCGATGACAAAATATCATATTTCTTTTAACCGACAGTGCTGGATCTTGAGAAAAAAAAAGCATTTTTACAGAGTGAAGGACTCCAAAGATAGGTTGTCCTTATGTTCTTTTTCATTTGAAACCAAATAGATATATTTTTTAATATTTGTATTATTGTCCTCTTTAATTTAACAATGCAATGTGTACATAACCATGAAATATTCTTTATATTTAATTTTTTTGTACATCATTTGTATTTATGAAGAGAATTGTATATATGTCTATGTTATGTGCCTATTGTCACAAAGTCAAAAATATATATTTTTTCATAATAAATCAGAAAAAAACATTCATGTGTTGTCTTCCACTGGGGGTTGGGGGCTTTGGGCTGCTCGCTTGATGTTTATGGTAAGTAGATGGGACATGGGGCTCAAGTCGATGAGGCCCCTGAACCCTCCTAGATAGCAGGGATGCTGGCCTCTCACAGAAAGGGAATCACGTGGATGGCACTAGCTAGCAGATTGTTGCCTAGGAGGCGGCTGCGGTGCTGTTTGGAGATGCGTCATCCAGGGATTAATGTGCCAGGCTAGAAAAGGGAGAGAGAGAGATCCTACAGGCCGATTTCTCTAAAGCCTGGGGCGTAGTTCCCACAGCATACATTATCTGTCTCTAAAGACCAGCTCTAATCCATCTCCCTGATGCCTGTATATATATGCTAATTGTCTATCACTTTCTCCACCCCCCCCCCCCCCCCCCCCCTCGACAAGACCCTGTATTGTGCAAAATAGATTAAAGGAGAAGCGTATGTTACCAAATCAGCATCCACTGCTCCTAGCGTCATGTGCACACATCTGCTGACCGCTCATGGAATCAGATTTCTAACATCAGTTCTGAAATCTATTATTTTCTGTATTTTACTCAAGCAATAAGCATCATGAGAAGCTGAAATTGAGTGTTCCTCCGTTGAGAATAACGTGCCTCTCAAGGACCCCCTCCCCCCTCTTTCAGAAAAAAAGTGATGAGGAGGGAGAAGAAACTATATAAATTGGGGGATGGGAGCGCTCATGCTGAGAGCTGGGGAGCATGGACATGTGGGCAGGGCTCCTATCAGCACCTGACCCTGTGTGCCCCTATCCTACCCCTACTCTGCCTGGCTCTGCTAGCCTCCATGTGCCAGCCCAAACATACAAACCAGGATGCTGAGCTACGGTAGTTCATGCTAGTCCACCGCACTGAACCTTATACTTGGGGGATACATCCCCATTGTCCATGCTGTTTATCAAATGTGAATGATCTCAACCCACTGGGCACAAACTGGTTGAATCAACATTGTTTCATCGTAATTTGTCAACCTATTGTGATGTGGAATCTACTTGGAAAATACATTGAATTTGAAAAAGGTAATCAACGTGGATTGTTTTGAGGGTGAAATTTCAACCTCAGGATTATGTCAGTGTAACCAATTTTCAATATGGACAAACCTTGTATAAAATATGTTGAATTTGTACCTGTGAAACAATGTCAGATCTTCAATGTTATATCCACTATCAGAGAAAAACAATAGGCTGGGAAGCACCTAGGACTAAATCAAATCAGACTTTATTTCAAGTGCAGTTAAAGTTTGATTAGATTAGCTAAAGATCCTGGGATTAAACACCTCCCTCTTCAACTGTATCCTGGGTTTCCTGACGGGCCACCCCCAGAAGTTGAGGGTAGGCAACAACACATCCGCCACGTTGACCCTCAACACGGGGGCCGCTCAGGGGTGTGTGATTAGTCCCTTCCTGTACTCCCTGTTCACCCACGACTGCTTGGCCATGCACAACTCCCAACACCATCATTAAGTTTGCCGACGACACGGTGGTGGTAGGCCTGATCACTGATGACGATGAGACAAGGTCAGAGACCTGGCAGTGTGTTTCCAGGACAACAACCTCTTCCTCAACGTCAACAAGACAAAGGAGCTGATCGTGGGCTATAGGGAACGGAGGGCCGAGCGCTCTCCCATTCACATCAAAAGGGCTGTAGTGGAGCAGGTCGAGAGCCTCAAGATCCTTGGTGTCCACATCAAATCAAATTTTATTTGTCACATACACGTGTTTAGCAGATGTTATTGCTGGTGTAGAGAAATGCTTGTGCTTCTAACTCCGACAGTGCAGTAATATCCAACAAGTAACATCTAATAATTTCACAACATATACCCAATACACACAGAATAGAATACAGTATATACATATGAGATGAGTAGTGCAAGATATGTAAACATTATTAAAGTGACTAGTGTTTCATTTCTTAAAGTGTCCAGTGATTTCAATAGGCAGCAGCAGCCTCTAATGTGCTAGTGACGGCTATTTAACAGTCTGATGGCCTTGAGATAGACGCTGTTTTTCATTCTCTCGGTCCCAGCTTTGATGCACCTGTACTGACCTCGCCTTCTGGATGATAGCGGGGTGAACAGGCAGTGCCTCGGGTGGTTGTCCTTGATTATCTTTTTGGCCTTCCTGTGACATCGGGTGCTGTAGGTGTCTTGGAGGGCGGGTAGTTTGCCCTCGGTAATGCGTTCGGCAGACCGTATCACCCACTGGAGAGCCCTGCGGTTGCGGGCGGTGCAGTTGCCGTACCAGGCGGTGATACAGCACGACAGGATGCTCTCAATTGTGCATCTGTAAAAGTTTGTGAGGGTTTTAGGTGCCTCCTGAGGTTGAAGAGGCTCTGTTGCGCCTTCTTCACCACACTGTCTGCGTGGGTGGACCATTTCAGTCGGTCAGTGATGTGTACGCCAAGGAACTTTTAAGCTTTACACCTTCTCCACTGCGGTCCCGTCGATGTGGATAGTGGGGTGCACCCTCTGCTGTTTCTTGAAGTCCACGATCATCTCCTTTGTTTCGTTGACGTTGAGTGAGAGGTTATTTTCCTGGCACCACACTCCCAGAGCCCTCACCTCCTCCCTGTAGGCGGTCTCGTCATTGTTGGTAATCAAGCCTACTACTGTTGTGTCATCTGCAAACTTGATGATTGAGTTGGAGGCGTGCTTGGCCATGCAGTCATGGGTGAACATGGTATACAGGAGGGGGCTGAGGTGACATGATCCTAAGCAATTATCATGGTTCACACACCCCAACACAGTTGTGAAGAGGGCATGACAACGCCTCTTCCCCCTCAGGAGGCTGAAAAGAGTCGGCATGGGCCCTCAGATCCTCAAAAGGTTCTAAACCTGCACCATTGAGAGCATTACCGCTTGGTATGGCAACTGCTTGGCATCCGACCGCAAGGGGCTACAGAGGGTAGTGCATACGGCCCATTACGTCACTGGGGCCGAGCTCCCTGCCATCCAGGACCTTTATACCAGGCGGTGTCAGAGGAAGGCCCTACAAATTGCCAAAGACTGCAGCCACTCAAGTCATAGACTGTTCTCTCTGCTAACACACGGCAAGCGGTACCGATTTTTTATTTTTTTATTTCACCTTTATTTAACCAGGTAAACCAGTTGAGAACAAGTTCTCATTTACAACTGCGACCTGGCCAAGATAAAGCAAAGCAGTGTGATAAAAACAACAACACAGAGTTACATATGGGGTAAAACAAAACAAAGTCAAAAATACAACAGAAATAAATATATATACAGTGTGTGCAAATGTAGCAAGTTATGGAGGTAAGGCAATAAATAGGCTATAGTGCAAAATAATTACAATTAGTATTAACACTGGAATGATAGATGTGCAAGAGATGATGTGCAAATAGAGATACTGGGGTACAAATGTGCAAAATAAATAACAATATAGGGATGAGGTAGTTGGGCGGGCTAATTTCAGATGGGCTGTGTACAGGTGCAGTGATCGGTAAGGTGCTCTGACAACTGATGCTTAAAGTTAGTGAGGGAGATAAGTGTCTCCAGCTTCAGAGATTTTTGCAATTTGTTCCAGTCATTAGCAGCAGAGAACTGGAAGGAATGGCGGCCAAAGGAGGTGTTGGCTTTGGGGATGACCAGTGAGATATACCTGCTGGAGCGCAGACTACGGGTGGGTGTTGCTATGGTGACCAATGAGCTAAGATAAGGCGGGGATTTGCCTAGCAGTGATTTATAGATGGCCTGGAGCCAGTGGGTTTGGCGACGAATATGTAGTGAGGACCAGCCAACAAGAGCGTACAGGTCACAGTGGTGGGTAGTATATGGGGCTTTGGAGACAAAACGGATGGCACTGTGATAGACTACATCCAATTTGCTGAGTAGAGTGTTGGAGGCTATTTTGTAAATGACATCGCCGAAGTCAAGGATCGGTAGGATAGTCCGTTTTACGAGGGCATGTTTGGCAGCATGAGTGAAGGAGGCTTTGTTGCGAAATAGGAAACCGATTCTAGATTTAACTTTGGATTGGAGATTCTTAATGTGAGTCTGGAAGGAGAGTTTACAGTCTAACCAGACACCTAGATATTTGTAGTTGTCCACATACTCTAGGTCAGACCCGTCGAGAGTATTGATTCTAGTCGGGTGGGCGGGTGCAAGCAGCGTTCGGTTGAAGAGCATGCATTTAGTTTTACTAGTGTTTAAGAGCAGTTGGAGGCTACTGAAGGAGTGTTGTATGGCATTGAAGCTCGTTTGGAGGTTTGTTAACACAGTGTCCAATGAAGGGCCAGATGTATACAAAATGGTGTCGTCTGCGTAGAGGTGGATCTGAGAGTCACCAGCAGCAAGAGCGACGTCATTGATATACACAGAGAAAAGAGTCGGCCCAAGAATTGAACCCTGTGGCACCCCCATAGAGACTGCCATAGGTCCAGACAACAGGCCCTCCGATTTGACACATTGAACTCTATCTGAGAAGTAGTTGGTGAACCAGGCGAGGCAGTCATTTGAGAAACCAAGGCTATTTAGTCTGCCACTAAGAATGCGGTGGTTGACAGAGTCGAAAGCCTTGGCCAGGTCAATGAAAACGGCTGCACAGTACTGTCTATTATCGATCGCGGTTATAATATCGTTTAGGACCTTGAGCGTGGCTGAAGTGCACCCATGACCAGCTCGGAAACCGGATTGCATAGCGGAGAAGGTACGGTGGGATTCGAAATGGTCGGTGATCTGTTTGTTGACTTGGCTTTCAAAAACTTTTGAAAGGCAGGGCAGGATGGATATGGGTCTGTAACAGTTTGGATCTAGAGTGTCACCCCCTTTGAAGAGGGGGATGACCGCGGCAGCTTTCCAATCTCTGGGGATCTCAGACGTTACGAAAGAGAGGTTGAACAGGCTAGTAATAGGGGTTGCGACAATTTCGGCGGCTAGTTTTAGAAAGAAAGGGTCCAGATTGTCTAGCCCAGATGATCTGTAGGATTCCAGATTTTGCAGC